ACACACACACACACACACACACACACACACACACACGTTCCACAACCTTCAAAGCAATCTGCATCTATAGATGTATAATCTTTGTTCAAGACTCCTTTTATAAATGTACAACTTTAATACTAAATGCAAAGTGTGGTATGAACTGTTACAATGAGCCCTGAGGAAATGTAGGGGGTTTTTAAATGTCACTTATTCGGACTCTATCTCAAATAAAAGCCAACCCTACGCAGCAGAGGCGTTTTCTATATATTAAACAACAGCCACAGTGACCAGAGGGCTTCTGTATCCACAAAAAGTAAAGCTTAACCACAAGCCTACAGTCACTGCAAGCCAGACCATGCGGCTACCATCACACCAATTTACATCTCCAAATCACATGGTGTGCAAGCTCAGGACATACGACAAGGGGGCACAGTAAAGCGATGGCGCAGCCGTGATGTGAACTGTGGAGCCGTCGGATCTCAAAGTTACGCAGTAGTAGTGTTAAATGTGCCTGTTGCTCTTCTGTTTACTATTTTACACAAGCCACTGCAGTGATTGTGATTAAAAAAACAAAACAAAAGAAAACAGGAACAAAACACATTTCACAGTAGTATATATAGATATATATATATTTTTTTTTTGTTTGCTTTTTCAGTATTTGTTAAATACATACATAGAACAAGACAAATGGCTTCTATAATGAGGAAAGTTTTGCTGGTGTGGTCATACACAAAAGAAAAGCTGTTCCCACCGTCGATGGATAATCTGATCTGAACAGATGCATCAGCTGACAGTGAGTTTTAAGCTACGTGAGGACTTTATTACACTATGGAGGACTAATGGATCACAATCAGAGTTCGGCTCGAGAGAGACCTTCAGTTTCCCCTCACCAGCAAATAATACACCTTCAATAGTTTGTAACTCAGCGTGTTGCTTTCATGTATAACGGAAGTTTATTATCAACCTGAAATCAGAAACTGCTTATCTACACCATGTACCCACACTCTACACCCATTCATTATCATTCTGCTTTTGTCCAACAAAATAAAAAGAAAAAAAAAAAAGCAGTCATCAAACTCAAATTAAGTTGATAAAGCCAAGAAAGCAAACACTAGCAAGTATTACATACTTGAAAAAGATAAGCGTATAACTCTGCAGGTATTTGCAAATGACTTCCAATAGATGATCCTTTCTCATAGGTGCTGCTTCGTGAGGATGTTCCCATTACCGACTGACTCCTCACTCTACTACAGGTTTGTCAATGGACCATCCCTTTCTGGACTCCTTATATTATGCAAAGTTAGAGGGTCCGAGGTGGGTGACGGGATGCCCAAGGCAGTCCAGAGGAGCACTGGGGAAAAAAACCTTAATGCTTACCATAACAGGCCAGAAGGCCAGGGACAGAGGAAAAGGGTCAGAGCAAAAGGTCCTGAAGACGCAAACAGCTCCAGGCAACTTCATCCTTGATGAGGAGAGAGTAGCGTATCAAAAGTAGATCTGCTTGGCATGTGACGGATTCTGCTCCATGGGGCAGTACGGGCATTTCAACCTGAGGAGGACAAGAGTCAAGGTGTTACCATCTTTGAATTCTTTTATCCTACATTTGTATCTTTCAGTGAACAACTTGCATTTTATTTTCTAACTGCAATTACAATTTTGTTCAGGAATAAATCTTTTGGGAAAGCAGTGACTGAAATTACAGTCAACATCAGACTCAGCATGTAACTTATAAGTCTTCATTTCTTTGCATCTGGGTGACTAGTACAACTAACATTTTGATCCTGGAAAATAGTAAAAGTGCTTTCAAACCAACACCAACTTCCAAAATAGATAAATTCCTTTTTTGCTGACTTACTTCCCAGCATTGGTTAGTTTGTTGAGAGCATCTCTGGAGATGACGTGTCCACAGATGAGCTTCATGGGAGGATTGCTCTCTGACGTTTGCTGTCGAAGAATTGGGCAGGCGAACACAGAGTGGTACCAGCACTTCTTCCCGAGGTCAATTTCAATCTGTCAGGTACAGACAGGACACGAGTGAGCTAACGGCTCAGAAATTATTCTGAGGAGCGATAACTGCATTTTAAAAACTCTAAAAGGACTTACAGGCAGCTCGTCTTTGTGTGTCCACACTCCACTGCACTGTCTCTGCTCTATCACCTGTTTGATGTTCATCAGCACAGGCAAGGCCATACATCCAGATGCAAAACTGCAGAGAAACAGATATGGCATTGTTGATAAGACAGCATAAAGATGACAAATGTCTAATAATTACTAAAAACTGTTCCACTTCCAGTGTTAAACTTGATGACAGGTGATCTAGTTCACTGTTCATGTTTTTCCTAACCTAACACTTAGTGGCGATTCTACAGAGAGGCCCAGCAAAGCGCAGGCGTCCCGGGTGAAGATGTTGCAGATCTCAGCCCACTGATTTGTCTCCAGCAAGCTGCGGTACGGTGAGTTTTCAATGCCATGACGCAGGTACACCAAGCTGCCCATCAGAATCTGGATGTCTGCAAAAATGAATAAATAAAAGTGGTGAAAATACACACACACACACACACAAAAAGAAAAAGAAAATATCTAAATTCTTGTTACATGGAGATACTATAATGCTTACCTCTCTGGTGCTGTGAAGCAAAGGGCTGGAAGTGCCTGGCATACTGCAAGGCCTCCATTTGGTTGCTGATTCCTCCACTGAGCAAGCTGATGAAGTACAAGCGGTGCAACTTGAACTCTAAACTGCTGTTCAGGTCCAGAAGACGCTGCCGATTCGTCACAGCCCACCTGCAAAGACACGGAAGAAACACTCAGCTACTGAACGTAAACACTCCTCAACTAAAGATTTATCAG